AGTATCTAAGAGTGAGATTTTTTTGTTTATAACAATTGCCAAAAGGTAATCTAACCCCAAGACGATGTAAATTAAGCTCGTTAAAGAATGAATTTTTTTGGGGTTTTTCAACTTTTGTGGGATTTTTTCATTTTTTCAAATCATTAAATTTTATGCAGAACTTTCTTTTCTGAGAACTTTTAGAGAGAGATTAATTTAAAAGTTTTAACAAATATTTGGGTGAAAAAAATTGCTTGACTGACAGGTAATGCGTTCAAATCGGGTACTGACATTGGACCAACTGACCCTTCGGCTTTAAATCTGGCCTATTATGCCCTGGACACAATCGAAAAATATATGATTGGCAGAACTTTAGATGTGAATTACAATGGAAACCAAGCAAACGACGACTCCGATGATGATGATGACGACGATGATGATAGTTTTTAATTTTTTTTCTACAATATTGACTTTTTAAAATTTGGTCCGCTATATTTAAAAAAAAACACCGCATTGTTAAATAGAAGCAAGATTCAAGATAGGTTGTTTTTTCAGTTCTTTTTTTTCATGAATATAGATGCCGGAAACTCAATCAATTTTTTTATAGGAGTTTTACTTGAAAACTGAGCGGATCTATTTAAGACTTCAATCTTGAAACCAAGACAAAAAATTCTGAAGATAAACTTTTAAACTGAGTTTCAGAAGTTGTTTTAACCACGTGTAACCAAGTTCAGAATTCAGAAACTTGAAAATATCAGAGTCAATTTCTGCACACCGGATTGTCCTGCTTAGAAAAAAAAGGCTTTGATAAAACTCCGCACAAAATAAGCTTATGATACAATTCAATGCATAAAGTATATGGGAAAATAAATGTTATCATACGATTCCATTTATGAAAATTGTATGACATGCATTTTCCACTGATATTTGTTTTCAGAATTCCTTCTGATAGTTTTTATCTAAAATCAAATGGACCTACTTTGGGTTTTAATTGAATGAAAACATATTGTTCATGCGTATTTAAGTTTTTTATGGACACAAAACTGCTTATCACACAATTTCCATTTATGAAAGCTGTTTGAAAAGCAGTTTTTCCATAGACTCATGCATGAAACTGTCAATGATAGGCATTTTTCTTGAATGAACGTCAAAACGGGAAATTTTTCTCATTTTACTTTGCATTTTTCATTCCGTTTGAAAAAGTTTCGTTTTTTGTGTTTCAGGGCGAACCCCAAGAAAAAAGTGAAACATATAAAACCAATATGGAAAATGCTTTTAATACAATTCCTTATATGAAAAATGTCTATAGTATAAAAAGATGCTCAACTTTCGTTTTCACACATTTTCCTTTCAATGTAATAAATTGTACAAAACTGTGTGACAGGCATTTTTTGTCAAGCCGTATGTTTTTATACGACCCACGACCTATATAATACAATAACGCAAATACTTTATCAGTTGTCACAACAGCGTTTTCTATCATACACATCTGATTTTTATAAAATTGCGATACTTTTATAGTCAGAAAGCCATTTGCACCAAAAAAATGGGTTTAAGAAAAACAAGGACCATGAACACAATTTGTTTCCGGTCAAACTTTTGAATTTATAATGTTACTCGAGTATCAATTTTACAATTAAAGAGTTATGATTTATATAGTACTAAAAAATGAGCTTTTTAAGTTGTAGAAAAAACTAATTTTCACTACAACCCGTAAAAGAAGCAAAAAAACTATTTATAATCAGTATGAAAAAAAAGTCGTAAAAAATAACGCAAATACTTTATCAGTTGTCACAACAGCGTTTTCTATCATACACATCTGATTTTTATAAAATTGCGATACTTTTATAGTCAGAAAGCCATTTGCACCAAAAAAAATGGGTTTAAGAAAAACAAGGACCATGAACACAATTTGTTTCCGGTCAAACTTTTGAATTTATAATGTTACTCGAGTATCAATTTTACAATTAAAGAGTTATGATTTATATAGTACTGAAAAATGAGCTTTTTAAGTTGTAGAAAAAACTAATTTTCACTACAATCCGTAAAAGAAGCAAAAAAACTATTTATAATCAGTATGAAAAAAAAGTCGTAAAAAATACGTTGAATTTTTTTTCATCGAAATATTTTTAGCTGGGTATACAAAAAAATCGATTCTAGAAACGGAAAATTTTGAGGACGTTTTTCAAAAGCGAAATAAAACAAAAAACTACTAATAAAAAACCAAGAAAAACTTAAAGGGATCGAATTTTTAGACGCTTCTAAAGCTTTTAAAACTCTATTTATTTTCAATTTTAACTAAAAATTTTATTTTTGATGATTTTTGAGATCATCACACTTCAATTGAACTCTTTTTTGGTACTTGAAAACATAACGAAGTTAAACTGTGCACTGGATAGGCGCTCAATTTTGTGTCTGTATGTTCCTGGATTCCAGAGACAAGTTCTTAAACCTGTTCCAAAATCTATGTGGATTCCGATTAAAAAGCTTCAATGAATTCCGCGCTCAAATACCTGTAACGTAAATTTTGTCGCCACATTGATTTTTTGCGTGTTTTGGAACGATTTTGAACAAAAAAGTGTCACAGCTATTTGTCCGTGGAATCCAAAACAGCAGATAAGATTTAAAAAATAGCAATGTTGCCGGTTCCATGACAAATATGTTTTTTTTAACCTGTTGCCGTGACAACTCAGAAAATCCACAGTTTGGCCCATAATGAATTTACTTTTTTCCTGCCGGATCGTTTCTCAAGTTGCTAAAAATTTTCTCAGAAACTTCCGAACAAATACAATCCCCTCCATAGTGTATATATAATACCAATTGCAATCCTTTCCACGACAATAAAAATTATTGCTGAATTGTTTGAAAAGTGTTTAAAAAACCGGTTTTATAATGAACTAGCAAAAAATGTAATTTAGCCGTTTTTAATTAATTTCATGAATCAATTCAAAATTAAGCGCACCAATATTGCTAGATTTGCTTATTTTGATGTTTTTTTGAAGTTTTTTTGTTTGCAAAAATTGCATAATTCTTGCAGGATTTCTAAACTTCTGAAGTTTAGTTGAGATGCAAATCTTGCAAACCTTCTCTTCCTCTAACCCCGTAAAGTAATTATAATAATGATTAATAACAAATTTTACTTGAAGCAAACATCTGAGTTTGCTATTTTTGGCTTTTTGAATTTCATTTAGTATTTAAATTTCTGATTTCCAACTCCAAAATTTTTTTCACAGCTCAGTCTATTTTAGCCAGTTTGAGAGTTTTCTTATGAACGAAAAATTTAGCTTTAAAACATTGATTATCAACTATTCGTGCCAGTACCTTATGTATATCTCGTCTAGGTGAGAGATTCTGATAAGTATTTTAAGTATTTGCTAATTACTTACTAAAGCGATAAAAACACTGCATCAAAAACAGCAAAACTATTAGAAAATTGATTTATAGAATATATCATCTAGCTAATTACATGAAAATGGAGTGCATGACTTGCAAGACTCTTGCAAGTTGATGGTCATTTTTTTAGTTTTTGAGAGAGAGAGAGAGAAAGCTGCAAATCTGCATTATCATAAGATTGTGAATGGTTTCGTTTTCTCACTTTGAAACCGAAAGTATTAATACCAAATTTCAAACATCAGCCAGTTTTTTGACATGAAAGAACTGACTACGTATTCGATTGTTTTTTACAATTTTCAGTTTTTTGTAAATCAATAATTATGAAAAAGTTAATTAAATAACTAATAGTATTGAAACACTTTAATCACAAAGGCAATTTTTGCTTACTGAATGCTTGAACAAATGAAATTGACAGTTTTTTCCGAGATTCACATAATTAATTTTCCAATGGAGCTTTTCTATTGATGCTCCAACTATACTTAAACATGCTATTAAAATGGATAGAAAAAAATTATTTCGAACTTTAAAATAAAAGTGCAATAAACTGGAATCCTATGGGTACTGTTTGCTTCAATTAAGTTAATTTCAATTCCAACTAATTTACTCGTTACAGTGGGAACTGAATATCCTCAGAAGAGTAAAACAAAAATTATTCGAAAAAGCTGAGATTTAACGGCTAAAAACGCATTACAAGTTGAAAATGACAAGCTAGTTTATGCAAATAAATCGTTACAAATTATGACACATCTTTCTCAAAAATATTTGGAAAAACGTTTTTAACAAAAAAGAAATTGTTTTCAATTTTTTTTTCAGTTTTTCTCATGAAAAAAATCTTGTCATTTTTGCTAGAATTTCCATCAAACCAATCGGAGGTTAGGCAGGGCAGTCAGGTAACCACATTATTCTTGTTAGATTTGTTTGAATAACAAGTTCTTAAGTGGGTATTAGCTTAAAATTCATGATTTGATATAATTTGATAATTTTGTAATATTTTACATAAACACGCTTAAACATTGAAAGCTTGTCGTGCGAGTACTTTTTCAATAGATATGATAGTTTTCAAACTTTTTAAGAGCTCACTTAAAGTTTCAAAGTACAAAAAACATAAAAGTTAGAATCGATTTGGTAAGAATTTTCATGCTGATTATAAACCGACCGGCCTTTGGCGTTTAACACAAGAACGTCATATATCAATTTAAAAATGGCCAATTTGTTGTGCGGTCATTTTACTTTGTGTTCAACCGCTCAGTTGTTGCGTCGGTGTTTTTGACTGAGCAAATAAAATCAAATCATAAAAAGATTTATTTTTTCGTCTGCAAAATTTGGAAAATTTTTCATTTTTTCTCAAACGAATAAGTCTGTAAATCACTGTTAAACAAGTTGATTTTCATCAGCAAATTTGCCGATTTAATACTACCCTCATCAAAATCTAAAGCAATAGTTTAAAGTTTTTATTTTGATGGTTGATTACTTAACAAAAGAAAGTGAAAAATTAGAAAATATGGTTATAGATGTATATCATTTTTAACTACTATGCTGTCAATAGTGTGTACTCATGATTGTCGTCAAGAGCTTTGAAAAAAGAAGATTTTGTTTTATGATATTCAAAGAGCCAAATTTGAGAAGAACTAAAACGTATGTTTGATGAGAATTTGAATTATTTTGCCGTTCACGACAACCGTTGGTTTAAAATCGTGTACATTTTTTGCAGCTTTAGCATCTGAGTTGTTTGACTTGGTACAAATTTTGATTTTACTAGACATGGTTGGCTGCGTTTTGTAAACTCAGCTTTTACTTACGAATATTGAATTGTCTAAAATTCCATCAGTCAATAACTATTAAATTCCATTTCTTATTGTCTAAAAAAATTATGGACATTTTTGGCTAATTCTACAAAAAACATTGAGAAAAAAATTGTGTTGAAAATAACTTATGAATTAATTTTTTTGTTGTTACGTAATTGTTTTGGTTTCTTGGAATTTTCCGTCGATGGCTTCGAGTAGTGGTAACGTTCGGCTGAACACCGCCAGCAAAACGACGAGCGGTTCTCGGAAAAGTGTCCAAAAAGCTAACGAACAAGCTCCCTGGAAAAATAGTAGGAAAACATCACGCGACAATCAAGAATACACGAATAAGTTTAACAAAGCGAGTCTGGACAACAGCATTTCGGCTACAAATGGAGTCGGCTTTTTAAACGAGTGGAAGTGGAGTGCCTCCGGGACGCTCCGTCAGGCAGGGCTCATCGAATGTTTCCTATTTTATGTCAAGTTTGAATTAATAATTAGAAAAAAGTGTATCCATTTTTTGCAAATCCATGTTATTTCAGTCAATTTTATCAATATATATGTCATCTTGTATTCGTTTCAAAGCAAAGTTTTGGAATATATAAAAAAACTCTATGCAAAACTCATTTTTAGAAAACTAGTTTTTTTAGTTTTTTTGACAAGAAAAACTAAATAACGATGTTTTAGCAGAAATAATGCTATTTTTAGTTAGGTTTTTTGAACATATATTTCAATTTGGCTGTTTTTCTTCGCATCATGTCAGTTTTGATCTGATAAAAGTTATCCACATCCGATAATCCCTGCCCCCCCCCCCCCGCTCTCTAGGATTCGGACGACATGTTCTCGACTCACTCCAAGTCAGTGTACAGCAGCAGTCGTACGAACAGTGTCCTCACTTCTCCCAGCCCCCCTCATCTGCCAAGAGACAGGGAGTCATGCTCTTCGGGGTCCGACAGGAACTCAATCAAATCGCCAAGGTGGGTGGGGCAATTATATGAGATTTTTATGATTACACAACTCGAAACATCACTTTTCATCGGGGCATTGGGGTGCTCCGATAGTGATGATGCGCTGCAATGAAAGGCTCTGTTCCAGTCGCGGACTTGATTTTTCTGAAGTTCAATTTTTGAAGTTTTTTTTAAATGACTTTTCAGGTTATAAACTGCATTAAAACGTGTTAGCGTGAATAATTGAAAATTTTTCTATCTAAATTTCTTACATTTTACATAAAATGTAAGCATTTATTGCTTAAATTTTTTGTAAGCAATAAATGCTTCCATAAAAAAAATTTCGAATGGCAAATGAAAAAAAAATCTGACAAAGAAAAATATTTGTTAGATCATTTTGCGCTAAAGTTCAACAATTCTTCTGAAAATGCTCCAATAGAAAAAACAAGTTAATTTTGAAATCTTGGCAATAGCTGGAATTGCAGAATTTTAAGATATTTGAGCTTATTATGTAGTTTGTCTGGATTAACTAAATGCCGCTTAATAAAACCTCTATGTTTGGGTAAATTAATGACAGATAAAAATGGATAATATTTATCATAAGTAATGAAAATAATACTGTTAAATAAAGAAACAGTTTGCTGGAGACTCTTCTTTCCATTGGCCACCAATGCATTAGCTTTATAAATATACCTTGCAACCTATTTGGATTCAGTGTACTGATTTTCACATTACCCATTTCGAGTTGATAACCAAAAATAATCATCCATATCAATTTGCACCCGGACTTTGATGGTATGTTTTCCTTCTGCGTGCAATTCCATGCAGAAGAACGTATCATAGTTTTCCATACATGGGTTCTAGAGAAAATTACATGATAAGCAATTTGTCTATAAAAAATTTCCAAAACTGATGAAACATTTTCTCAATTGTCATTTAGTCGTTAAACCAGTTTTATGAACAAAGAGAAAAAAACAATTTCCAGAAATTTTTTATGCCAAGTTTTCACCTTTTTTCCATATTAAGTAGTACAAGCACAGTCTTTTTACATAAAAGAATCAAAGTCACAATGGAGGTTTTCTGTGATGGCAGAAATTGCACTTGTCAGTTTTAGATAAAAAAATGTAACCCAAATCTGTTCAAAAAATAGGCCACGATTTTCAACTTCAGATTTTTTGAAATAGAGGCCTCGTATCCATATACATTTTGTGTAAAATTAATTTTGTGTAAAAATAAATTGTTTAGTTTACTTGGCATCTATCAATACGTGGTTTGATCATAATGCAGGGCGAATCAAAAAGTTAAAGCAAAACACAATACAGTTACCTGGAAAAAGTGTTTTACATACAAATTTATATTACGGCAAAATGCTTATTTTTTTATTTTCATACAATCTTTTTGATCCGATCATTTGAAAAATTTGGAGGAATTTTTGTCTTAGTATTTTTTTTTGCTTTTCACGCAAAATCAGGTACCACAAAAAATCATCGGAATGAGTCGAGTGATGCATCATGGTAAAAACCTTTCGGTCGTGATTTGAAAAAGTTTTCTAAGTGTGAGAAACAGTTTGAAATTTTTATTTTTTTAGTCTTATTTCAAGCTAATAAGGTGAGCCTAAGCAGATTTACTAACTTTTTTTCTGGTTATTTAATCCGTGGAAAATTAGTTTTTTGTTTAAGTAAAATCAGTTTTTGGAGTTTTAGCGCTAATTAGAGTATCAAAAGTTCAAAGTTCATTCGTTTTTCTAGTCGTTTTTTTTGTACAAAACTGTTTTCCAGCTGGCCTTTTTTACTCTGAATGTTCATGGTTGGAATATTCTGTGCTGCTTGCTCAGTAACCAGCTATTCTTTGCTAGTCTTTGGATTTAAATGGGATTTCATGATAAGATTTTTTCTATATTATGAAATTGTATGACAAGCTTTTATTGTCAACCCGGTTGCTACATAACATTCTAAAGTTTTTTCATTTTGTGTACTGTCAATACTGTCAACATTTTTTTTCGAATGCAAACACTACTCCATAGAACTCACAAGGCTATGGGAACGTTCACGGTTTCGCCCTGATATGAACAATCTTGTTGGAGATAAGTACCGCCGATGACAGCAATTCATTTGAGCCATGAAAAAAATCAAAACTGTTATTCCCGTCAGGGGCGGATTTAGGGGAGGGGAGGGCGGCGGACGTTCCCTCCCTCAGGGATTCGGCCCCCTGCCGACCCAAAGGGTCCCCCTTTGGACTATTTTGAAATATCAATTTTTGGTGACGGACCCTAAAAAATTTTCTGAAGGTGCCAATATATATTAATTTTGAGGGGGAAACGCGCGCCTAAACAACTCAATATTTTAGTCACAATTTTCCAAAAAATGCCTTTAAACATCTTTTTAGCCTGTTTTTCAAAATTTTGCCTGGGGTGCAGAAACTTCGGCCAAAACAGGGACTTTTTAGTGCTTTGGGAGAGCTCAAAAAATCAATTTGGTCGACCTAAACAAAATAGGTCGACAAAAATTTCGAAAATTTTTTTGAAAATTCCTCCCTCGAGAAAATCTTAGATCCGCCCCTGATTCCCGTTCAACTTTTAAAAAAATAAACTATAAGTTATAGCAATTTTTCATTAAGCAAAGTTTTACTAATTTTATGTTGATAAGAATGTTGCCTCTCAAGTTCTACCGATGCTTGGTTTGAAGCATATTTTAACTTTCAGAAAAACTCACTAACTTGACAAAAATCTGTTTCAACCAGGTTGTCAAAATAAATATTTTAGTAATAATTTTTTTTCTTCGGACCAACGAGGTTGAAGACGGCATTTTGATACTTGCTACCTTTTGAACAATATCAAATGAAACAACAAACTTATGCTCAATAGTAGCTCAAGTTGCAATAAAAAAATAGCATAGAAAAAAAACGGATAGAAGTTTGCGTTCACGCTCTTGGGAATTCGATATTGTGAATGGTTGCCATATTTATCATCACAATCAATCGTATTTATGACTAACTTTGGTTGGAATAGTTTGAGCTAGTCGCACAGCACCTGAAAACCTTAATCAGAACTAGATCAACGCGGGGTCTTTTGAGTTTTGGAAGGATTGGATTCATTGGAAGGTGGGGTCTCTACTGTACTTAAGTTCGTACCCATGATCGATTAAAAAATTTCTACTTAATAAAATTCAATTTAATTTCTCAATTTTTATCGCAAGTTCCATGTCTTCCATTTTCAAAATGTACCTCATTTGACAAAATTTTTAAAATAGATTCCGAAATCTTGACTGAAATTTCTCAAACATCGCATTTATCGTATTTAAGTGTACTCTCATGAAAACTGTTAGATCAGCTTTAACAGTTTTATTACAGTTTGATCATACTTTATCATGTTAAAATAACGACTTCGAATGCAATTGAGTACGTCCTTCAGACTTACCATGTTTATGCATCATGTAACTGTTCTTTGAGCCGAAAGTTATAGAAAATCTGTGTATATAAAGTTTTACGACCTCAATGACCAAAAAGGCGGGTAATAATTTCAAATTTTGCATCAACAGAACTGCGATTTTAATGCAATTACTATTAGAGTACTCATGTGAACAGAGTATGTAATGGTTATGTGTTCAATTCAACTTCGGGAGAAAAAAGCGTAAAATTGGTTATGTGTTCAATTCAACTTCGGGAGAAAAAAGCGTAAAATCCTGCCGACACAAGGTCGAGACAAAGCCGAGAGACTTTGCGTCGAGACAATTTTTTACAGCTTTTTTTATCAAAATTGGTTTTACTAAAATCTCGTGACAAATATTCAGCAGAAGTTGTACCTGATTTTGCGAAAGCAAAAAACATCGGAAGCTTAACTTCCGCGCCAATTCACAGTCGAGACAAGTATTTGATACTCAGAGCAACCTCATTGCAGTTGCATATCTTGTTTTTAACACGAACCATTAAAAAAGCAAGGGCATGCTTAAAAAATTTGCTGAAAACTGGAAATCTCAGAGAAATGAATGCTCGAATGTGATTGAAAAAATATGTGCTTCGTATTTGAGCTGCAGGGAGCTTCTTCAAGAGTGCCGGAAACGAAAGTGCTTCAGTTTGCAAAAAAATTAATTGTTTTCGGAATAATTTATCGTTTTTTCAAGTCTTCTGATAAATTTAACATCCGGTTTTTATGTTTCCTTGAATTTAAAAAAAAAATGGGAAGTAATTTTACTAACTGCTATGGTATTTGTTCACTTTTTAGTTGATGCCAAAGCTTTTGATTTCTGGTGGCTTAATTTGTACAAATTTTTCTTCTGGCACTTTTTTCTGAGTCAACAATTTGAGTGGATTAAGTAAAAAGATTTGAAAAATATCTTAGCAATGCGAACAAATAATTTTTTGAAATTATCTTGTTGAATTTTTTCTAATCGCCAATTTTTCAGAACATTGATTTTTTTCTGGTCTACGGAACGTTGACCAGAAACAGTCGACGAAACGGAAGAAAACTGCTCGTATCAGGGCAAAACTTTAATTGTTCCGACTGCATTTCAAAACCAATCAAGAAGCGCCAATTGAACAAAATTATGAATTAAAAAAAATTACGACGCTAAATAGTGCATTTTGTGAAATTTAAACGGATTCGGCAACATGCCAAAAACAGAAATATTGCAGAAACTGCACCATTGCTATTTTTCTTTGATATTTTTGCTGTTTTGAATTCCACGGGCAACTATCTAAATTACTGCAAAGCTGAAAATCGCTCCAAAAACAGGCAATTTTGCAGAATCCGCAGCAAAACTTGTGGAGCCCGGAATAGTTGAGTTTGTGGAATCCACAAACAAATATTATTATATATGTTTACCTAATTTAAGTTGTCATGGAATCCGCAACTGTACGAAGAATTGCAAACTGTGAGCGAAATCCGCAAAAGTAAACGGATTCCGCAAATTGTAAGCAGAAACCGCAAAATGTATGCAAAATCCGCATCCTTTTGCAAATTTCTTTTAATTTTGCAGAATCTGCTTTCATTTGCGGAACTTGGAAAAATTATTTATATTCGTTCGTTCCGGAATTCGCAATGAAATTTATGTGCCAGCAAAGCTTACGTTACAGATATTTGCACACTGAATCCACGGAATTTTTGGAAGGAACTCCACTAAAACTTCGAAACATGTTTGAAGACATGTCTGAGGAATCCAAAAACAAACAGACAAAAAATTTTGCGCCTATTCAGTTTGGCCCAGTAATGAAAAATATGAAAAAAATTTCAAATTTTTCTAAATATTTATTTTTATCAAAGTATTAAATAGACTAAATATACTCAATTCATCTTGGAACAATTTCTAAGACAGACTTCATCTCCGCTTACGCCTTAATAGAACGAACTATATTGTCTGTCAATTGTCCCAAAATGACCACATTGAAAAATTTTGAACCCACATAACTTGCAAAAATTGATCAAAAGTAAAAATAGATTTTGTTAAATTTGACAACAAAATTTTTCGAATGATATAAAAAAGTTTGTCTGGCGAAAAAAGACTCACTCGAGCACAAATATTTTGTCACCTTCTTTGAGATTAAGGACAAAAAATTGACGGTTTTTTAAAGTTTAATTGTAAATTAAACACTTGTGATTTTGTTGATATTTGTGGGTTTTAGGTTGAATTTAAACAATGAATGACTTTTTTCCGGGTTCCTTAGTATCCGTGGTTTTCTAATTCAGATATAAATTCAACCCCACAGTTTCTTATCAGTTTCATAAACTGGGAGCAATGTATTACCAACGCTTGATAATTTAGCAGAGAAACAATTTTAAAAAAAAGTTGGGCGATGGATATGGAAGTAAAAAACTTTCAAATCCAACTTCAACCTGCGTTTGATTGTTCATGATAAGTACAGTACGCAATCTAAGAATCTACAGTACGCATTCACGTTTTTTGTCAATTTCAATTATTTTGTTAAATCCTGGCTCTTGTTTTCTAGTCTTGTTTTTTTTGAAGCTCATGATTTTTCATAAAAAGTTTGATTTGTAGTAGCCTCAGTTTTTGTAAAAAGGGTTTTTAAAATGAAATAATTGTCTAATTAAATCGTCCGATTTCGTTGACCTGAAGGAGGTTTTTAACAACTTAGTCATTAATTGTAAACGTAACAATGTTGATTTTTTGATAGTTTAGTTGTCATGGACCACTTAAATTTTAACCATTGTTTTTTACAGCTTTGATGCTCATAATTTTCCAAAAAAAATTCTTCATTTTTGTCCTTTTTGAGCTTCAGTTTTTCATAAACGTTCATAAACGGGTTATTGAAATTTTACAATTATTTTTAATGTTTTTTTTTTCAGACGCAAACTCAAGTCGCCATTCAATGATCAGAGCTCATTACTGCCATCTAAGCCATGTGTGACCTCCAGTCGGGGGGTGGTGGATATGAACAACAGGTCAACAACAACTACCTCCCACAGAGCCCCACCCTCTACTAAAGATCTACAGTCTACCCTCACTAAGCCAACACAACCCCGCGCAAGTCAATCCCAATCTAGCTACAGGTACATTGCTAAAGTTTTCATAGTTTTCCCCCAGCAATTTAACCTATCTCAAAACTACAAAACCTCTGATGTAGACAGGGTCATATTTGGTAGGGGGACCTCTTTGGTACTTTTTAGGGAAACAACTTTTGGCTGACCGACCCTCAATATATATACATTTTTTGAGGGGGAGCGCGCGCAAAAAAGCGCGGTTTTCAGTCAACATTTTCCAAAAAGTGTCCAAAAATGGCTTTTTTGACCTGTTTGACCTGGACAAAAAAGTTGTCTAAAATGTTTTTATAAAATTCTGGGAGCGCTCGGAAACTCAATTATGTCAATTAGGTTCACAAAATTTTCAAAAACTTTTTTGAAAATCTGACCCCCCCTTTCCCTCGATAAAATCCTAGATGAGTGCCTGGATGTTTGGGGGGGGGGGGGGGGGGGGTTATAATTTGTTGTCGCCAGGTTAAGGAAAGAATCATGTGTGTGAAATTTGCATATTAACGTTACAGATTCGCAATTAGGAATACCTGCCAAAAGCACATCGGCCTCTGGATCTCTCAGCTATTGTTCAGTGTTCTTTTTCAAAAAAAAACCCAATTCTAAATCAACTTCCTAACCTGAGTTTTGACATTTAACTAACTTAGTAACTTATCTATCTTATTGTCTTTTAATCTAGTCTCAGTTTAAAAGTCTACTATTTCTTTTTATAGTAGAGAAATCCGTAGTTGTGTATAGTCTTAAGCTAGTCTTAGTTTAAGTAACTCTTTTACCGGCATGTAACTAAAGTTATTACTACAACAATCATCACTTTTTGACAATGGGGGGGGGGGGGGGGTAACAGGTTCGAAACAAAATCGTTTTGCTCGAAAAAATTAAAAATAATCTAAATGTCAATTAGACACAATATGTCAATTTTCAATGTCAAATTCAAAATGATAGTCAAAGTGTGAATAAAAAACAACCTTATAGCTATTTGTTTGTTTCCTAAAAAGCATTTATTTGGGAATTCGAGAATTTTTCTACGCTTATTAGGACAAGATGATATAATAAACTGCAATTTTTCGATTTGCAAACAGCGAATTTCAAAAAAAAAATAGAAACTATAGATTTTACTAGCTTCAGTTTATTTTTTTCTCAAAAGTTTGCTATTTCATTTGTCCTTGTCAGTCAAATTGAAATGCAGTCTAGAAAATGTATACTCGCTTCCTGTAGTGATTCAATTGTTTTTTTTACAAAATGCAGATCATTTTGGTAGATTACCATTAGACACGAATTGTCTGTTTTCAGGTTAGCTTTTTGATTTTCACATAACCCAATTTTATTTGTAGGGAATATTTAGTTTTCGACATTTTTTGACTTGCGAGCTTAAAAGTTCTGTAATGTTAGACAAAGCATCTGGAATTTGTTCATTTCAGATCAATTTTGTTAGTTTTGCGGGATTTATGTTCGTATGTTACAGAAATCCTCACCCCAAAAACTAGAACTTTTGTCCATTTATATAACCGAGAACAAGAGAAGTAACAAAACATTTCTTTGAAATGACCTTAAAAATATTATGCAACCAATGGAAGCTGCCTGGAAAAAAAATTTAGGAAAAAAAACATTCACTTAGGGGTGGATCTAAGTTTTTCTCGAAGTGGGGACTCTGAATTTTTTTTGGAATTTTGATGAGTTTTTTGGTCGACACAATTAATTGTTCTCGCTCTCTTAAGACTACGAAAAAATCAGGTTTTTGCTCCATCTTGTGCACCACGGGCATATTTTTGTGGGCACTTTTCCGAAAATCTCGAACAAAAAGTCAAATTTTTGGCGCGCGCTCTCCGCCCTAAGTTAAAATCTATAAGCGCCGAAGGGGGCCTTTAGAAAAACTTTGTGTCGGTCAGCTTTAAATAGATGTCTTGAAATAGTAACGAAGGGGGACCCTTTGGATGAAGCGGGTCGAGTTTTTTGAATGTGTGAAATCATTCTCATTTTTAGGTCACCAAATGAAGACGACGTGTTCGCGTATTTACCCACAAGCAAGCTGCCAAATACTTCCTCCACCTCTATTTCAACCCCTTCGCACAATCACCACAAATCGAATTCTTCTTACAGGTCATGGTTTACAAGGTCGCCAAGTTCAACCGAGAGCTCGGAGGATTCGGGATTTGTTCGATGAGCCGACAAGACGACTGTTCAATTTAGAAAAAAAATGAAAAACCGAAAACTGAAATAGCCGATAAATTAGAGCAGAAAGTTAAGCATGATTAGAAAATCTCAATCAGCCAAAGAAAGTCTAATTTTTTTGGAACAAAAAAGTTAATCATATTTTTTTTGGAAGTTTTTGTTCAAATATGAGGAAACTACTTTTTTCTTTTTCGTTTTTCTATCAAAAATGTTTTGAAAAACTCTTTTTAAATAAAATTCAAAAAATGGCTAAAATTTATCGGTTATTGATCCTCGGCTTGTCGATTATTAATATGAAAACCAATGAGTTTATTTTTGATATTGAAATAGTGCATTTAAATATATATTTTACTGATATTCCAATGATAATTGAAAGTTTGTTGTGCGGTTGTATGTTTTGTCTCGATCATTAAAAGTGTGGAGACACTTTGTATTCAGGTGTATTTTAATTTTTTTTGTAAAATTAAGCACCAAAAAAAATCATTTGACTGGACTGAGCGATAGTTTTTATTAAAACCCTTTTAGTCATGATTCGCACCACAATGAAAAAATTTCCTTTTTTTCCTGTTTCGAGAAAAACCGGTAAGAAATTTCTGATTTTCTTTCTTATATCAAGCGAGTAAAGCGAGCCTTATTATAAAAGATAGTGACATTTTACAATTAAAAAAGCCCTGAAAAAGCTAGTAAAAATAATTTCAATGTTTTAGAGCCATCTTAGTAATAAAATGCAACTAAAATTCAAAAAATTGCAAACAAAAAAAATGCAATTTTGTTTTGACTTTTGTTGTTTTTTTAGTCATTTTTCAAAGAAAACTGTTTTCCAATCCCATCTTGACCAAAAATGCTTATCATACATTTTTCATATAAATAAAAACACTCATTACGAGGCCAAACTGTGCATTTTGTGCATTGTGAGCGGATTCTGCAACAAGGACGCTCCCTTTGTTCTTCTTTTGTTCTTTCCTTCTCTTTGATAGTTCCGACAAAATTTTAACATATTTAAAGACTTGTCTCTGGAATCCAGGAACATACAGACACAAAATTGTGCTCCTATCCAGTGCACAGTTTGGCCTCGTAATGCTAATGCTATACTTTTGATGCAATTCCATAAGCACGGAAAATTGCATCAAAGGTCTATGATTTGTGATTTTTCTTATATGGAAATTGTATGAATAGCATTTTTTCATAAACCAAAAACAGAGATTTTTGCATTTTAAGTTCTCAAAATTTTTTGGTTGTGTTCTTAACGAACACAAGTAACAAAAACGTGTTACTCAAACGTAGAGTAATCAAAGGTTTGACAGTCTCGCAATAAAAAAGAATTGGAAATGGGCTGAAAAGTCTTCATTCTCTCTTTCACAAATAATATAACAAAAACATCAAACTTTTTATTTTGGAAAAAATTTTCAACGTTAGTTATTTTTAAATATTGATTTTTCAAATTATCAGACATCGATCAAGGTATACATAAACATACTAATCAAAAGAAAGAGAGGTTTATAGTGTTTTAAAAAAAGTTGAGCAAAAAGGAAAAAAAATAGAATATTAGTGCTTCCAGGAATAAATTAAGCCTACAAAATTTTTTTTGAAAAATATTTGTTTGAGTACAAAATTCGCTTTGCCGTTGAAAAAATCAAAAAAATTTTGGGGAAAATTACAAAATTATTTGGAAATATTTTTGTTGTCGCCATCACAAAACGATAGTCATACAATTTCCATATATGGAAATTGTTTGATTAGCATTTTTTTGACAAATTATTTTTCGAAAACTCGATGACTTCGTTTCAGCAAAGTGTATGAAATTTGTATGACTAGTATTTTTTCATAGACTTAATTTATGGAAGTGTATTATTATTTCTTTTGATTTATGGAGGTCAACCCAGGATTATCTTACTGTGAATATTAGAAATGCCTAAAGTTGAATCTTTTGTTCAGATCCTTTCAAGACACCACGCACAAAAATATTGATATAAGGGATCTACTTAACAATCTCCCCCCTTTCAAAAAGGGGGGAGATTCTTTAGTAGGTACAATAGGGGGGGAGGTTGTTAAGTAGATCCGATATTAGTTGTAACAAAAAGCTTTTTTGTTGTAGTTTTTATGAAGATTATAGTCGGAACTTTTTTCTGCTACTTTCGCAGCAACCGGCTTTCCCTGTCTTAATATTTGTTTTGAGCGGACAATTGAACCACTATCTTAAAACTAATTGTATCACTTGAGTAAGAAATGTGACATTTAGGTAAACTGCCTTAATTGGTCAGTAGAAAGAACTACAGCAGATTTGTAACAACTCATATAACAGATAAGGGGGTTTGTTTTTGCATTACTCGAGTTCATACGTTTTTTTTTCATCAGATAAGCTGGATTTTTTTCCAAGAAGAAGCTTTTTTGTTCAACAGAGCTCTATGACATTGTAGGTTCCAGAAATTTTAAGAATTGATTGCAATTGCCTTTATTAGCTACATTTTTGTATCAATTGAAATATGATGTAGGTGTAGGAATGTATACGTTATCAGTTTGAAATCGATTATGCAACACGGTTTTCGTCCATACGGCTAGATCGAAAAACAAATAAACGAGTTGATGTTAAATGTTATTAATATTTATATCAGCAAGTAATACAAAACTGTCTGAGAGTTTAAAAAAAGGTCAAAAAAGAGGAATTGAAACTTATCAAAACACAAATCCTTAGAAAAACAAATGATCATAATTGTTCAAAAACTACGAAAATATTAACAGGTACTTAATAACGAAGAAGGTGGTATCAGATCCAACATTGTAAACGTGGGGAAATTCACAATATATCTAGGCCGGTATTGCTCGCTATTTCACACCGCCGCAATATGTTCCCTTTGGTACTGAGGTCAGCGGGGCAACCGATTCCCAGTACTGTTCACAATCCCTAAAGGATTGATTTGGTAGTTGGCTGCTCTGTACTGCACTTTGCTGCTCGCCCCGTGATTCGTGCTCTTCCGACTGTATCTCACCCAACAATCACAAATTGATCGCAACAACAATTCTAATAATAAGAATGAATTAAGAAATGAATATACTCAAATACAGAGTAGCCTATAATTGGCTGAAATACAAATTAATCATTCAATTTAAGAAAAGGGATCGCGATTACTATTATTTAAACCAACTGCGTCCTGCGGTTCAATTAACCCCTTAATACTAACTAACGTTCTCCTCGAGAACTTCTTTCAATATCAATCGTTCAACAATGATTACGCTATCCTCTAGATAGCCTAACTAACATTCACTAACTAATCTACATTCACATCAACAAGTCTTCCAACTCGTTCTCACTTTACTTTGAGAATCAAGCGACTAGCTTAGCTTGTAGCCCAAATTGTTCTCTAACTAACTGAGAACCAACTATTTGATTCGCTCGCAATAATTATTCTCTGATGAGAACCATTCAATCTTAATGGTAGCTAACACTGTTCTGACTCTTACAGGCTCTCCGGTACCCTCCAGTTCCTTATCTTTCTTTACACTTAATTTTAGTTAATTCACGCCATTCCCTATCAGTCCTTACATCCGCTCAAATTACCCGTTTGCACATGTTTTAAGCCAACTTCGTATTCTTTCCTCAATATTTTCACGCTTTTTAGATACCCGGCATGCGGTAGCTGTCACAATTTGACCAAGCAAATAAATGTCATACGATTCTAATCCACCAATTCCTGTACTCTGTGAACTTCAGCTCTCGAGTTCAACTAACCTCTAAACCAAGCCATGTTTACTCAGTAATCCTCTCAAGGATTTTATTTCAATTATCCCGTTAACGTTCCGACCGTTAACGTTTTCATGGGTAGCTATTTCAATTCAAGCATCTAAAATCTCTATCTGTACTCCATTCCAATACCGAACTTCTAGCTATCAAGGGAACGTAGTTCGTCTATTAGGGATCAAATTAAACCAAAAAGTCACCTCCGGGAGGCCAAGTAAATTCCCCGTCCGTTCATAGTATTTAGGAAACTTAACTCTCTTGCCGTGGTCTTATCACTATCTATTTCCTCTGGGACTACTTTCCTTTATCTAGTTGAATTGCTATTAATAGGTCACTCGCCAAGCTAAATTGAACCCATTGTTTACCATGTCCACTTTAAATTAAATCCTCTACTCCAAGGTTGTAAAGTAAAAGCTATATCTCTGTCAGCTTCTGCTCTAGTTCCCAATATATAAGTTTTCCTCTCAGTTTTTTTAGCAAGATGACCCATTCTAACTTCCAGGGGTTGGGCTGGGGAACACGTCACTTTCCGGTGTTAATCTTGAGGCTTTCCATGCAAGTTGGTCCTAAGCGCCCGAAGGTCAATTTGAGGTCGCCCCGGGTCAATCTTCCACATTCAGGTTTAAAATCCCATAGGGGTCCTACCTACCAAGTTTCATCCATATCCCGTTAATACTTCCAAAATTATTCCATTTCTAAGGTCCATTATCACTTTTCCCGGAAAAAGGCTATTAACACCGGAAGGACGCGCCGGAGGGGTTTCAATCACTGGGGTCTTTTTTCGAAGATGAGTTGTAGTATCTAATGCTGCCATAAAATCGATATGCCTTTTCCTTTCCAAAGTGCTAATAACTTCCGGTTCAACCGTCGAATTTGGTTCAAATTATAATACCAGATGTATCTTGCCACTACCTATAATCACTCCAAGTTTCAGCTCCCTGCGTTCATCGGTGCCCAAGAAACGACTTCCGGAAGTCGGGGTGGGGTCTATTGGCATAGGGCATAAAACCGGAAGTAGGGGTCCAAGGGGTCTGGTTTTCTGAACTTAAGCTCCCCTTAAATTTCCGAGTTCTGATAGGGCCATTTGCACTTCCGGGAACCGTTATCACTTGGGGCCAGAGGCTCCAAAGGGTCTGGATTTTTGCAAATCTTACTTCACCAAAGTTTTCTGCTGTAAGAGGGACTATATCTTCGAAGGTTCAAATATTTCGAACTTTACCCTTTGTTTGCTGTACTAATTAACTTAATGACGAATCAATCTTACGCTCAGGTTACTATAGCATGTAATACAGTAGAATCGCCAATTCTACATTCTTCCCTTCTAGTCTATTATTCT